TACTAATTTACGATATTAATAAAAGGTAAGTTATGTTTCAAATTAATTAATCGGTTTTTTACAAATGTTTCGATTAAACATTGACTACATTTACACGTCAATGGGCGGTATTCATAGTCCGTTCTTATATTCAAGATCGTCTTAAGCACGAACTTATATTCGCTCTCTTCGTCAGACACAATCTATGTGTGACGAAGAGAGCGAATATAAGTCCGTGCTTAAGACGATTTTAAATATAAGAACGGACTATGAATACCGCCCAATCTCAATTGGTATAGTAACAATCGTAGTTATGAAACCCGATTAACGTTGCCGTGTAAACGTACTTATGAACTATGTTTATACAGACACTATTATATCATCCGGTTTAATAACATTTCTAATTAGAACTTACAAGGACGGTTTGATAACCCAAAAATTCTAAAAAATATGAAACTGCAGAAATATAATACATATAAACCTAATCAAGTACGTATATTTGGAATAGTATACAACATACTAATGTAAAAAATTTTAGTTATCAGGTAATGAATACAAATTTTGAAAATATATGTATGCAACTACTATGGGAGGATCCTCACACTATTCTCATGTGTTTTTATAAATCTATTAAAAAAATGGATATAAGGTAATAAATCTTATTGTTAATACTAGTTAGGCTTTCAATTTTTTCATATTTGTTGTACTGTAATTTCAGAGCATCCAAATTTGTACGTACTTGGCATTTTCCCGGACCTTACCATCTATTCCTCTGTTGCTCATCAGATAATATGTACTTTTATGACGGGGCATTATGAAGATGTTCTTTTATGGGATCAGAGACAGAGTGTTGCCTTTCAAGTTTGTATTATTTTAAAATTTTTTATATCTTGTACTTTATTAGTAAATTATTATTAACTCTCTTGAAAATTTTTAGAAGTATAATATCGACTCAAATGTATCAGGTATACATTCTCTAGAATTTGATAGTGCTCATATATATGCTGCTACAACAAATGGTCTTTTTGAATTGGACTTTACGGGAAAAGATCACTTTAACCATAAAGAAATAGAAAAGTTTTTTGGCAATTTTTATTGAATAAAGGAAGTTGAGTGAAAATTCTTTTTATTATATTTTGATTATTTACATAAATTCAATGAACTCTATACAAACTGAAAATCGCCGTGTTGCTCAAGATGCGATTATACAAAGAGAGCATTCGGTTTATTTTATCTTTTTCTGTTGTAGACTCTCTTCACTGAAGTTTATACATGTATATAATCATATACTCATATATATAATCTTCACATATGTATATAAAAAATGGAGATTTCAATAAATCTGCAAAGAAAAGAGTCAAAACAATCCCTTTACCTCTCTTTGTCCGTTTCCTTATTTTGTCCGTATCATGGCTTCTACACACAGGGGTCGATTGTGTATTTTGCAATGTAGTGAAAATTACAAAAGTGAGCAGATTTACTAGGTTATTGACCAATAAAATTATAGATACTTTAGTAAAATTGCTAACTTTTTGAAAAATTACTGAATATATTTCAAAATAAATCATAATTTTCCGTATAAAAATTTAATATAATACTATGAAATGTAAGGAAAGTTAAAATATACTGCTGAAAAGTAATAAAAGTTTTGAAATATTAGACATTATGAAATTTACTGAATTAAACTGAAAACTGTTACTTTTAATAAAAAATTGCTTAAATATTTATGAAATTAATTAATGGGGTCAATTGAGAGAAATTTCCAAATACATTTCAGCAAAATTTCGTTATATTTTTAGAAAATTATTTCCATCAGGGCAGTACAGAATTATGTATTTATATATATGCATATAATTACTTACTCCTCTGATAGCCAAGCATGTTTTACAAAATCATGCAACTTAATGCTGAGCATAAATTTTCGACTAGTTGCTGTATATTTGCTAAAAACGTAATGCATAGTTATACGTATTCAACAACACGAGGGCAGATTTGAAACATTTTATGTCAGCAGATTCAGAGCAAACGGAAAGCAACTATTGTTCATTTTGTTGTCAATAAAATGACTTCTATTCATGGAAAACATTTTGCTTTGTCATTCATTTTCGACAACATAAGAGCAACATGACGGTGATAGAAAAAGATAATGATGGGTGTAAAAAAAAAAAATTTTTATTGTAATAGAAAAATGTCAACTACAAATCAGTCTTTGAAAAAAACAAATAATTTTGGTATGTATGTTGGTATACCTCTTTAATAAATTAATAATAATATAATTAATATAATAATAATATAATATAATATAATAACATATAATATAATATAATAATATAAGATAATAATAATATAAATATAATATAATAATATATTATATATACCATGCCGCAAATATCTATAGGTAGAAACCGAAGCTGTGTTAACTTGCCACAAGTATCGTCGATGTATCGCCTATTTATTTATTAAATTGCACGCACTCGCGCAAACACACATACACACATACACAAAGATAGATCATTTTCGACATTTTATATTGGTTACAAGACACAATTAACATATTTAAACAGTTTTTAACAAATTAATATATTTAAATAGTTTTTAACAAATATACGAAGAAGTACAGACATCGGGTGTTTACGATAATTCAAGTTCGAGTTAGTTTCACTAGGACCGAAAAATGAGATAGAGATATATATATATATATAATAGATATGTAAAATAATAAATAAGTAAATTCTTCTTTCTAGTGATAACAAAAAGAAGGATTTATTTACTTATTATTTTATATGTTTGAAAAGAGTAAGGGTGCAAAAAATATATTTAACCGTTTTCGACACGCTGTTAAATTTTTGTTGAAATTTATGACTCGGCATGTGTTGTTGGCAACTTGCTGTCATTTTGCTCTTTATGTACAGCGATAAACCATTGATAGCAAACACATAGCAACTTGACAGCAACATATGCTGAATTCATGTAATATCATACCAGAGGCAAATGACTCACACACCTTGTTCTAAATTTGCTGAAAACTGTAACGATGCAGCCCGCTGCATCGTTACGGCTACGGACCGTCCATCGTCCGTAGCCCACCAAGGGCGCATCGCGCGCCGATAAATTTCCTATCAAAAACAGCGGCGGTCAACCGCCGAAAATCCCCCACACCCGACCGTTCCGAAATTCCGTATTGTGGGGGACTCGCCGCCGAAACCGCCGATGCTTGCCGATTCGAAATCATTCGGCCGCCAGCCGGGTATAAAAGAGGCCCGGCTGAACGTCTTCTCACCAGACTCCGTTCGCTGATCGACAGCGAACAACCCTGCTACGAGCGTCCTCGTAGTCCCGACCGAGCATACTCGGACTCTATACCTGTGCCAGCACACGAGTATCCTCGTGTACCGCCGAGCGTCCTCGGTATTCTTTGATTCCAGGATACGAATATATTCGTATACCC